AAAACCACTTATGACAACTGAAGTGACAGTTCAGATTAAATCAAACAAAGAAGCCGCTGGTGTTCTCAGACTGACCACCCCAGAGTCCAGACCTCAACATCACCGAAGGTTTTTTGGATTACTTGGACTATGAGAAGCAGAAAAAGCAAAACCAACTTCTAAAACTGAACTTTGGAATTGTGGAAAAATATCGCTGCAGATTACTCTGGAAAACTGAAGGTGAGTCTCCTGAAAAGAACAGAAGCTGTAATAAAGGCAAAAATTGGACACTGAATACTTAAATGTAATGTACCTAATGTAATGTAACTTTAATGTACTTAAAATGTAATGTCATATTTAGTTGTTGAGGCTTTTGTGTAAATTTTTTTTGTTATTATGATTTCCTAGTGCTAAAAATGAATAACATATACACAATGAGTTTTAACTGGAAATTAAATCAATTTAAATTTTATTTAATTAAATAAATAAAAAGGGGTGCTCTCCTACTTTTGCACAGTACTGTATATAGAGTGTATTGCTAATGTCAAATGTTCTGAAATGTACCCCTGAATGAAAGACCCTGTTTATATTTGCTATCCAGTTCTCTTTGCTCCAGTAGAGTACATCATTAGCTCAGAAAACCAGATGGCGTGCATACCATCTCCATCACCCTCTCTCTGCTCCTCTCCACACTCAGTGGAGCTCAGCCTGAGGCCCTGTGTGTTTACGTAGGCTCTATTATGGTCCCGCACAAAACACACAAACGCAGTCCGTGGTGGGGCAGGTGTTTGATCCTAATGGCTTTACCCTTGGGGCAACAGCCATTTCATTCCCAGAGATGCCCTCACCACCAGCACACTGTCAGAGGTTAATTCACCCATTTAAGCACATTATTTGTTCTCTTTTAAATCTATAATAACTGACTTTATAAAAGAAAGAGGACACTGTTTGAGATGTCCCTCGTGTCTAAAAATGAGTTGCATCTAACTGACTGACTGGAGCAAAACCCTAATCTAAGAACTGCAGAGTAACTTATGCGCAGTGTGGTACTGTACATTTACAGAGTTTATGTCGCTCAGTGATCTACAGTCTTGTGCAAAAATTAGACCAGCCTTCATTTATTTTCTAGGAGATATTCCTGAGCATATCAAATATAAGATCATCCACTTCTAAAACAGCCATTAAGTGCAGGATAAATGTGAGGAAATTAGATATGACAATCCACTTGCATAAAAAAGGGGACAGTCCAAGCAAAAAAAAGCAAACAAACAGAAGTTTCCAAAACTGGAGTGCAAAAAATTTGTGTTTACATGCACTCAATAGTCTGATCACAATCGGATTTCTGCAGTTATCTGATTATTTAAACGGTCATGCAAACAGTATATTCTGATTTCTTAGATCGGAGTAAAGTCTAGAAGTCCTGTTAAAAAAAAAATCTAATAAAGAGGCTGGATTTTAGCTCAGTAATCAGATTTCTCAGTGCCTGTGAACTCTTACTCTGATTTCTTTCTGATATCTCAGTCTGTGAATGTGTGAAAACAGAGTGCAGGACCGGAAATAAGCGAGCAGCGTCGCCGCGAGACGCAGCAACCAAATACATTCTTGAGGAAATGAAGGATTTAAATATTCTTCATCTTCTAAATGATGTATGTTCATATTTTCAGGTAAAGTGGCGGTATGAAGTTTGAGTTTTACGTTACATTTACGTCACGTCTTCTTCTGTGAGTTTATTGGCTGGTTGCAAAGCAGAAATCTGATTACTGTCTGACTCATTTAAACCTGGAGTTTCACATTATCTGATTACTCACGTGCATGTAAACCCGTTAATCGGATTACTGACAAAATCTGATGTTCTGCAGTTATCGGATTATTAAGTGCATGTAAACGGACTCAATGATTAAAAGATACAGAGAAGATGAGACTCCTAACAACCAAGACCTGGTAGACACCAAAACTGCCTCCATCAGATAAACAGCACTTAAAGCTTTCATCTCTGAGAGAGAGGAGAAAATCAAGCTGCTTCAGATCTGAAAACATCCACAGGTGTTTCTGTCCATCCTTCCACTGTGAGAAGACGACTCAGCACTGTGGGTCTGAAAGGATGTGTAGCTGATCAAGAAGAACCTCACTGAGAAAAGGAGACGGACACATCAAACAAAGAAGCTGAATGATGGACTGACCACCCCAGAGTCCAGACCTCAACACCACTGAATGTGTTTAGATTATTTGGATGGTGAGAAGCAGAAAATGCAAAACCAACTTCTAAGACTGAACTTTGGAGATGTGGAAAAATTTCCCTGCAGATTTCATTTAAAAACTGAATGAACGAGCTTCTCCTGAGTAGAATGGAAGCTGTAATAAAAGTAAAAATTGGACACAATTAATACTGAAAAATGTAATATTATATTTAGTTGTTGAGGCTTCTGTGTAATTTTCTGTTAACCCTCTAATGCACGATGTTGCCTCAGGGCAACAAACTCATTTTCCTCACTTTACAATAGCATTAAACATATTTAAAGACAACGATAGGATTAACAATAAAGGGAAGACTTTGAGTAAGTAAATAAAAAGCATGAACTTTGTCACACTCTCTCTTAGATACAGTTAAACAGGGCACCTTTAAACCTCTTTAACAAATCAGTATCATTTTTTTTGTCATGAGAATTTGCAGAAATATGTTTGTTGCCTAGAAGCAACACTGTGCGACAGAGGACTGGATTTAGCCAGTCACTCACCACTTCAGGGAACACGCCTCTATATCATTTCTTTCCATTGTTGCCTCAAAGCAACATACCCCAAAAGGACCCCTGCACACATTTTTTTTTTAATTTAATAATCAGTTCAGAAAAAAATAAATCAAGGACCATTTTATGCAAGAAAAGTGGATTGAATTTTTTTTTTTAATTGCTCTCATAATGTGTGCAGTAGAGGGTTAAATATGTTTCCTGCTCTTCTTGATGCTGAAAAATATGTAACCTTTCCTTAATAGCGTTTTTTGACAATTTAAATTTGAAGGGTGGTCTCTTACTTTTGCACAGTACTGTGAGAACGCCAATTTGGACCTCGTTTATGAAAAAAAAAAAAGAAAAAAGAAAGCAGACTGTGAACATAAGACATTAGTTATTCCAGTCTACAGACGATGGACTGGGAAAGATAATAACTGTTCCCAGTGCATTGCATCTCACTGCTAGAGAGGCTCCCCAGGGAGGTCACTGGTGTCCTTCTCCATCAAGAGTAGATTAGGACAGCAATACGCCAACAGTCTTTAAACAAATCACCCCCCGTTCCGTACCCCACCCAAAGCCATTTCAATGATTTTCAATTTATATCATTAACCCCTCGAGGTCAAGCTCCAAAGAGATTCACTTTCACAGATTTTCTCATTATTTGCTCAGACTGGCGTCATTCTAGTAATCTAAACCGAAGATGGATGGAAGGCAGTTGTTCAGCATCTGTAAGTGAAACACGTTTCCAGTTTGATGTTTTAGTGACGACAGAGCCCTCAGTAAGAACAGTCAGTACATAAACACCCTGCAGTCTCACAGGAGCACTGGACTAGGAGCAGCGGGTCCACAAATCCACTTCATCCCCCGTGTGCTAATTATGTTTAAAGAAACTGTTCAGTGACAAACCAGATTAACACATTATTCCTTGAGGCAATTTCCCCAAATGTGGTCAGTCACCCAAGACATGTCTGTTGTCTGAAGTTTGCTTCAGTTTCACACCGAAGCTATGAGACTAATGTAGCTCAGTAATGGAAGCTTATAACCCGCCAATTAGCACTATGCTAACTGCATGGCTAAATATTCACATCATACACATCAAACCATATCAACTTGTTAAGTAATCTTAAACAATATGTTTGTGACTATTAATTTAATTTCCTCTTAAAAAGGCCATTAAGTGCAAAGTTATTAATTTTTCAGCATCAGAAACAAAGAAAGTTACACAAGATCAAAACCTGAATGTAATATCAGATTTTTCAGTATTTAGTGTGTCCTCTCTTTTCTCAGTAAAATCTGCATGAATATTTTTCACACCTCCAAAGTTCAGCCTTAGAAATTGGTTGATCATTTTCCAAAGTAATCTAAACACATTCAGTGGTGTTGAGGTCTGGACTCTGGGGCGGTCAGTCCATTGTTCAGCTTCTTTGTTTGATGTGTCCGTCTCCTTTTCTCAGTGAGGTTCTTCTTGACAGCTGCACATCCTTTCAGACCCACAGCGCTGAGTCGTCTTCTCACAGTGGAAGGATGGACAGAAACACCTGTGGATGTTTTCAGATCTGAAGCAGCTTGATTTTCTCCTCTCTCTAAAAGATCAAACCTTTAAGTGCTGTTTATCTGATGGAGGCATTTGTGGTTTCTACCAGGTCTTCCAGGTGGTTGTTAGGAGCCCCATTTTCTTTGTATCTTTTAATCATTTTTTGAACTCCACTTCTGAAATTAGTTTTTTCCCCACTTATTTTTCCCTTCCTAATGCAAGTAGTTTAGTTTAAATCAAATATTTTTAGACATATATCCTGTGAAAAATGAATAAATTGTATTTAATGGCTGTTTTAAGTGGAAATGAAATCAATTAAGATTTTTGACGACTTTCGCACTGGACTTTAAATCTGTGGCCAAACTATTCTTTAAAGTAGCATCATAGCCCACTAGGGGCTTTCAACACATGCCTTCAGCCACAACATCAACCTCTGGGTAGAGTTATTCAATAGAAAACAACTGACTAGAAACAACAATGCAGAACAGACTTTCACCTCAACACAAACCACGAAGTAGAAGAGCAGCACAAATGCATGTACAACCTATCACATCTGCAGCAGTTGCAGAGACATTTACTGTTATTGCAACATTCTGAGTGGACTAAGCGTTACTGTACTGCTCAAAAACAAATGCTAAACGTCCTATAAGCTCCTTAATGAACATATTACACGAACATCAATGTCAGATGATGATAACAACGACCTTTCACGATCACACTAAAGTCCTCTGAGGATGAACCGATTAAATGATTACTCTTACCAGAGATAGCTGCCGTCTCCAGACTTGGATGGAAAGTTCTGGTGCCTTTGTGTTGTGTGAATCAGATCTGGGATGATGCTTTTAACACAATTATCCCATTGAGGGTGAAGTGGCTTCAGCGAGAGAGAGAGAGAGCCGCCACTCCGAGTCTTCAGCCCACACACCGGACTCCTGGATAATGACGATAATAGTGTCCATTCAAATCAGCCCCTGTAGAAATTGAAGAACAGCAGCGATAAAGGAATCTGGAATCACAGCCATAGGGAGTTTGGGTAGAGGAGAACCATTCCTGCCTCTCTAGCGATCAATGACTAGAATGAGTAGAAGATCTGAGGCCTGTTGAGTTTTCCAAGTCATCTGATCAGATTTTGGTTTCAGGACTGGATTATTTCTTATAATCTGTCTATTTCTTGGCCTGTTTAAGTGATTACCCAACACATCAGTTTAGTGAGGTAATAAGGGCTTGGCTACAGCAAAATGGAGATATTATTACAGTCCATAAATCATTTACCAAAACTGTAAAAGCGGTTGCCGAGACGTCGAAAGCAGCCTCCTGGCAACCGAACACTGAGTGCCCTGAATGAGAAAGTGCGTCAGTCTGACAAGGACAAATGTGGCAGTGAAAGCTGACCGATTCACGCTGACCGATTCACTGAGATGCTGGTGAACGTGATACATGAGTCGTGTTTGGCTTGAAGTGTCACAGACGGAGGGTGACTGCACAGCTCCAGACCATCCAAACTGCTGAACTCATTATAGCACAGTCAATTAAATATACATTAAGTGACTCAAGGTATAGTCAATGGCAGAAAGGAAGAGCATATACTTATACTGCACACAGGCCGGTCAGAGACTGTTCATCAATCAAAAAACAGTCATGGCATTGGTAATGTTGCTGGTTGGTTGGCTAGACAACAAAATATTATAAGTCAAACTGTATTGCAGCATCATATTGTGCCGTGTAATGTGTTGGAAATCGAATGAGACGAGAAGGCAGGGTGCAAATGCAAGCTAGCAGTTTCACTGTTGTCCATGGAGAAAGTAGCAATAAAAGAAGCAGAAACAAAAGAAAAGCAAAACAGGGAAAGTAGTAATAAAAGGAAAAGAAGCACCAAAAGCAAAGAACGTAGAACAAAATACATAGGAAGAACCACTCGAGCTCAGAACCAGTAAAACACAACACAAACAACGTCCAGCAAGAACCAGACCAAACAAAGGGGAATAAATAGACAAATAACACATGGGAAACACCTGGGGCTAACAAGAGGGCGGGGCTACAGACTACACACAGGTGGGACAGATGACTTGGGAGGAGACAGACCAAAACAACAAAAGCGCATGGAACAAGACACAAGAGGGAAGATGAACAAAAGCAAACAGACAAAAACAAAGACAGACAAAGCAGGACAGGACATGATGTTACATATACTCTTAGCAACAGGGTTCTACATAGTACCAAAAAAGGGTTCTTTGGCTTGTAACAACAGTGGAACCCTTTTTGCTGCTGTATAGATCCTTTTCAAAAAGGTTCTACATACACAACACATTCTCCATCAATCTGAAGAACCGTTTCATGATGCAAAGAGCCCTTTATTCACGCAGAGGGTTCTGTGAGTGTCCATGGTTCTATATAGAGCCATTTTCTTTCCTAAAGAACCCCTGAAGAACCATCTTTTTAGAGTGTACTGTTGTATTGTGACTAGTATGTTAGCTTGGGGTTGATATTTGCTCATTAGTTCAAATATTGTATTTTTATAGTGTATAATCACTAATGAGTAAATGTCACTAAGCCAAATAAAACTGAAACAAGAAACAAAATAAAATAGTAAACAATGAATTGCTAAATAAAATAAATGAGAAATAATTCAGATAAATACTTTCTTAAGTGTGTTAAGTTGGTTATATTTGTCAAGAAAGATGATGTCTCACGAACCTCACAGTGTGTTTTAATAACCGGGTGCATTAATACAGGCAATCCAGCACTTCACACATACACACATGATGAAATTAGGAGGATTTACAGGCATCAGTTTGTATTGGCTGCTTTTTTGGGATGCACTGTATGTTGAGGGAAGATTAGTTCTCTGACGGATTTCCTGACTCTCTCCTCAATGTGCCACAAGCAAAGGCCTCATCTGTATAAATCCTCCTCACATTTCCTGATGCAGTTAATAAACAGTATTTTACACCAGCTTCAAACGTGGCTCAGCCAATCAGACCTATACTGTTAGACATTCCACTGATTCTATTAAATATACGATGTCACATGTGTAACTGATTCACATTCAGTTTTTTCCTTATTTGTTAGGAAAAAAGAATGAAATCAGTTGTAGGTGCTGTAAATTTCTGACCACTGAGAGCCCCTAGTAACGCACTGGCGATACAGACATTTCGCTACTTTGTTCTGAATGTAAATTTCTTGGATTTTTAACACTCTGTTGAAATAGTTTCACCCTTAACAGATAACAAGAAAACTGCAGGATGATATCAGCAGCAACAGGACATCACACATCATTCAACTATACTGGTTCAAATTCAGAGACCATGACTCGGACTTCAGACTAAAATCTTTTTGAGTGACCTTATAAATTAATTATGCTCATTTTATTAAAATAAATGATTGAACTTTCCATTTTCTCACTACCAAAACAATCAGAACACTACTGCAAGTTTTTTGAACAAAAATATGTGTTTCAGTGGTGACAATTCTTAACGTTCCACAGATTTTCAGACTTTCGGACACTTCAAAACAATGGGATCCAACTGCAGCCTCACTTCCTGCCCTAAATGTCACTAAAACTCATTTGTGTTTCGGTAGTGACATGAAAACATGAGTTAATTAAACATCATGATAAATCTTAATCTTTCAACTTAAATATCTTTGAAAAAACATAACATAAGTTGTGTAAGTGTAAATTTGGGGTTTATGGTTTGGAACAGACACCTCCCAAGAGAAAGTGCGCTATAAATGATGATTTCATATGTATTTAACTTATTATTGCCATCTTAATCAATGCCTTGAGTTTTTATAGATCATAACTTAACGCTTGTAAATATCTGAGGCCTCTATACTTAATTACTATTTTAATAGGGTTTTTTTTACTTTAGGACAGCAGTTTGAATTCAATAGAATGGCCCATATACACTGGGAAGAGCTATTAAATGTAAAGAATTTAAAGAGGATGCCTACAGGACACTCAAAAGGAGGTGATGACCACTGTAAACGTACTGTAATAGCGGGATTGGAGAAAGAAAAAGCCATGTTTACCCACACATTTCAGCTTTTGCTGCAGCGAAAAGAGAGAGAGAGAGAGAGAGAGAGAGAGAGAGAGAGAGAGAGAGAGAGAGAGAGAGAGAGAGAGAGAGAGATATTCTCCGTGTGGGCGGTGATGGCACGTCACTGGGCTGATGAGGCTGCTGATGAGGCCGTCGTGGTGGAGAACGGCTGCAGCTGTGCTGCTCCGCTGCACCCGCGCCGGGACGCCATTGTGAGGAGCTGCTGGAGCATGTCCTCCCCAGCTGGAGCAGCAGACAGCAGAGACGAGACACCCTCCATCACACCTAATCTATATCACACCCACACCACGTGCCCTGCTTTCAGCATCACTACTGTTTCACAGATATCCACACTTAGTCTGCCTGCTCGAGGATGTTCACACTCAGGCAGAATAAGCCTGGATGTCCGTGAAACAGTAGTGATCTGCACAAAAAGGAAAAGTATGTTACGCAGCTAAAAACAGCAGAATTAGCTGATGACTTTGAACATTGTTCATTTTCATTGATTCATTGCACCGTGCTAACTGATGGGGTATAAACTTCCATTAGCTATTTAGCTATGGAAGCCTCGAGGCTCCAGTGCAAAAGTAAAGAGGCAAACTTCAGAGAACAAGCATGTTTTAGAAAATGGCTTCATTTTGTATAAAATGTGTAAACCTGATTTTTCACCAAACTACACGTAGTGGTCAAAGACAATGCCCTCGGTTTTTCCCAAAAACACTGGAACAGTAGGATATTTGGGTCTCATTCACCAACCATTCATAAGAAGAAATTTCAGTAACACTTTCTATGAATGTCACCTTTATAAACACATTTATAACATCTATAAACACGTTTATAACATGTTATAATGTATTCATAAGGCATTACAAACATGGTTATAAACATTTAAAAAAAAGAATTACACTGAATTACACTTTATAGCCATGTTTATTATACATTATGAATTGTTAATATAATGCATCATAAATAGCGTTAATAACATGTTATAATGTCAATGCCAAAGAAGTCAGTCCCAGCTTGGAGAGAGTAAAGTAAGGACAAATACCAAGCTAACGGTGGTGAACATTACCTTTCCCACATTGGGTAAAACACTGATGGCAGCTCTAGTTTAAACTCTGACATTTGAAGCCTGTAATGTGCTTTATTGTGAATGTTTTAGTGTTTCAGTAAATCCTTCAGTAAATACTTCAACTTGAAGCCTCACTCTGAACACTGGAGGAGGCTTTAGTACAGTACGCTTCACTTTACTTAGAGCGGACAAATACGACTTATGAGCTCTTATAATTTGTTATGATCAGTACTTATAATGTATTATGTTAACAATTCACAATGCATAATAAGCATGGCTATAATGTATAATGCATTTTTATAAATATTTATAGCCATGTTTATAATGTCTTACGCATGCATTATAACATGTTATGAATGCGTTTATAGATGCTTACAAAAGGTGACATTCATAGAAAGTGTTACCGAAATTTCTTCGTTTTTATTAAGATTCTGACATTCAACAGTGTTTTCTTATCTGGCATTTGTTTTTAGGTAAGAACAGAATCTACACACACTCAAGACCACAAAGGTGAGAACAGTTCTGCGGTTTAAGAACACGTCATGAATCTGACGAAGCCTTTTTTTAAGAATAAATTTGAGAAAAAACATAGGACGATATTAGTGAATGAAGCCCAATGTAAAAAGCAGCTTAAATGGTCATTTCAGCCCAAAGAGTTTTACATGCTTTTTGTCATGTTACAGTACATGGTACAGTACTGCACTGCGTCCATCAGTCTCATCGGTTTGACAGAATTCACAATTATTGTATCATTTTTGTTCATCGCTGTTCTCTCACTACAACACCCAGCATGCATTACACAAATATACACCTACTGGGAAATATACACCTACCCTGTGGTGTCAACCAATCCTGACAGCTA